CGAGAAGAAGCAACTCTGCAGATCTCTCAAACCAGGGAAACCCAGGAGGACAAACTCAGTCACGGAATACATTGTTCTGTTCTGGGAACCCAAAGCTGTTGGAAAAACAGGAGGAACCCATGACAAATAATGGACATTTGTAGGTTTTGCTAATGATTCGCTAAAAATTGCAGTAAGGACTTTTTAATATACATTATCTCATATGGTTTTCCTTTTTTTCTTAAAGATTATTTATTTACTTATTTGAGATGTAGAGATACAGAGAGAGGTGGAGGCGGACAGGAAGGGCTTCTATTTGCTGGTTCACTCCCCAAATGGCCGCAATGGCTAGAGCCAGGCTGATCCAAAGCCAAGACACAGGAGTTTTTTCTAGGACTCCCATGAAGGGTACCAGGGTACCATGAAGGGTACCAAGCACTTGGGCTATCTTCCGCTGCTTCCCCAGGCAGTAGGCAGAGAGCTAGATTGGAAGAGGAGCAGCCGGGAAACGAACCCTCACCCATATGGGTGGCTAGGGCTACAGGCAGAAGCTTAGTTTACTATGCCACAGCACCAGCCCTCTTGTGGTCTTCCTAGTGGTCTCATTTATTTATTTGAAAGGCAGAGTGACAGAGAGAAACAGAGATTTTCCATTTGCTGGTTCACCCCTCAATACCTGCAATACCCAGGGCTGGCCCACTCTAAAGCCAGGAGCCAGGAACTCCATCTAGGTCTCCCACAGGGGTGTCAGGAACAGAAGCATTTGGGCTTTAATCTGCTGCCTTACAAGTACATTAGCGAGAAGCTGAATTCGAAGGCAGAGAGACATGCGATGTGGGTATCCTAAGGTACAGCTTAACTCACTGGGCCACAACACCTACCCATGTAATTGCTTTTGAACAATAGGTAAATTGTGGTATTTCCTCTCCTACAGACAAGGAAATTGAAGTTCAGAGAGATTTAAGGGGTTCACGTAATTGTATTTGCAAGGCCAGTAACTCCTTGATACACTGGCGCATCTGGAGATTGGTTTGGAACAAGCTTCACTTCATTTCAAGTGTTCCTGTAACCCTGTGCCTTAGAAATGTTTCATCTTTTGGTAGCATTTCCCCTGTGATAGCCTACATAGAAGTGTCAACTTTGAACACGTACTTTGACTTTGAAGCAAAATGGAATATAAATCTAGTCAAAAACAGCTCCTATGTCGCTCCCCGTCTTCGTGGAGGAACGACACAGGACCCTGCGTTGTTCTTTTGTCTGCTCGGCCCTCCCCGGGTTTGCTGCTGGTTCTTCCCGGGTTGGCTACCGACCCTTCCACCTCCGTGGAAGGGCGGTTCCCCCTGCCACTTTCCCCACTTCCGCGGGGGAGCGGCACACCACCGGCCGGCTCTCTCGGGGGCTGCTCAGATGTTCCTCATAGATGTTCCCAGTGCATGTTGTCTCTCTCCTCCTTTATAGTCCTCTTCCACCAATCCCAACTCTGCTACCCACACGCCGAGTACGCTGCTCTCCTCCAATCAGGAGCAGGTCCTGCTACTTATTGGTTGAACTGGAGGCAGCTGTGTAGAAGCTGTTTCCTCCTCTCCCAGCGCCATATTGTGGGAGAGCAGATGCATAGAATAAGTCTTAATTCCAGTAACTTAGTCTAGTCAGAGTTGCTCCCCACACTCCTACATTGCATTCTTAGAGATAAAAGTCCAATGATAGCCAGAGAAGAATGGGCTTGTGGGGTAGGAAACCTGAGCACTCTTGTTTTGCCTCTCTTAGCTGCAGCACAGGTAGGAATCTGTGAAATGGTTTGAAAACCACTTTAGTTTACGCTGGGTCGCATGTCCCAGGTGGAATCTTTTTGAACCACTCCGCCCATTTCTTCCTGAGGAGCTCAGGTTCTTACTTGGAGCAACATTTGCCTCCTTTAGTACTTCTACCCATAGTTCCTGGGACTTTCCAGGTCCATGGGTAAACTTCAACTTTGTTGAAGCTGAACAAGATAATTTTAAATCTAATTTTTCTTTCCTGATGGTGGTGGCAGGTCTCAAATAACTCAAGGCAGCTCTTACGTCTATTGCTCATTTCTTTTTTTTCTCCCAAAGAAATCTTTTATTTAAGGAGTACAAATTTCATAAACAACTTTAGGAATATAGCTATTCTTCCCACCAACCTGTCCCCAACCCCCACTCCCACTGCACCAACTCCTCCCACTCCCATTCCCAGTCCCATTCTCCAGTAAGATTAATTTTCAATTAACTTTGCACACAGAAGATCAACTCTAGACTAAAGATTTCAACAATTTGCACACACACACACACACACACACACACAAAACTGAGAACAAGTTTTATAGTTAATTCTCACAATACAACTCATTGAGGACAGGGGTCCTGCATGGGAAGTAAGTGCACAGTGACTCCTGTTGTTAATTTAACAAGTAACACTCTTATGTATGGTGTCAGTGATCACCCAAGGCTCTTTTCATGAGCTGCCTAGGCTATGGAAGCCTTTTTGAATCCACAAACTCCTTCAGTATTTAGACAAGGCCATAAGCAAAGTGGACATTCTCTCCTCCCTTCAGGGAAAAGTACATCCTCCTTTGATGACCACCTCTTTCCACTGGGGTCTCATTCACAGACATCCTTTGTGGAGGACATATTTTGCCACAGAGTCCTGGTTTCCCATGCCTGAAATGCTCTCATGGACTTTTCAGCCAGAACAGGAAGCCTTAAGGGCTGATTCTGAGGTTGGAGTCTTCTGCCCATTTCTTGTGTAGTCCATTAGCCCTATTTTCCCCATTTCCCACTGCCACCCCATCTTGGCCAAACTGTAGTGTCCTACATCATAGCTTGGTTCTTGAGACATAATACTCCTTGGTAATCAATTTCTGGAGCATATAAAACTATATGCCTTCATTTTTGTTAGAATTAATCCCTGAGCTCTATAATTTGTTCCTTTGTCATATTGTTGTTACCTAAATTAAATAATGACTAGAATGGTTGCCTTTCTGATATTGGCTGAATCAGGAGTTGAGGCAAGACCAAAAACTTGGGTATTTTCCCAGCAATCTTCTTAAACCATTGGTCCAGGGTGGTTTGTATATACTAAATTTTTCTGGTTAAATTTCAGATGTCTCATTGGGTAAGCCAATGTCAATATTACATACTTAGCAATTATTGACTTTAAAAGCAGAATAGGATACCATATTATTTATTTATGTCACCATTAAGATACTTACAAAATTCCATCCTTATGCCATTTATACAACCTACAGAGTTCAAGAGGCCTGCTTCTCAATATTTGATTACACCTGTAGCAAATCCAGAATAATAAATGTTTTATTGGCAGCAAAACTTTGTATACTTGTATTAAAATATTTTGAATAATGAAAAATTATTTAACAATCAAGATTTTTTATAAAAAATGTAAGTGTACAGCAACAGAGAGGGAGAGAGATCTTCTACTTATGCCTGCAATAATCAAGGCTATGCCAGACTGAAGCCCAGAGCCTGGAACTCCAACTGGGTCTCCCTTGTGGGTGTCAGAGGCCCAAGCACTTGAGCCATTGTCTGATGTCTCCAGGATACATTAGCAAGAAACCGAATTGGAAGTGGAATAGCTGGTGTGTAAACCAGGCTTTTTCTTTTTTTTTTTAAAGGTACTTACCTTTATTCTTTTTTTATATCTGTTACATTTTTAAATGTATTGTTATATAGAGAGCAAATTTCATAGATATTGTTCCAAGAATCCAATGATACTTTCCTCACCCCACCCTCCCTCCTTCCTTTTTTTCTTTTAATTTTTTGTGATAACATCCTTTCAATTCACTTTATAGTCACAGGCTCGATGCTTCTCTAAACAAGTAAAAGGCAGAGAGATTGCTGTGCTGATTTCAAATGTGGGATGCTGGATTTCAAGTGGCGGCTTAACCCACTGTGCCACAACGCCATCCCTAGGAACTTACAAAAGCAATCAAGACAGTGACCTACATCTTTATAGTCATGTGCATAGACTGGGGCCCCATGAGCTATGCGTTTTGCAGCATGTTAGCTCTATGCTATGGGACACAAAAGATCTTTACTGCAGTTAGGAATAACTTAAATCTATGTAGTACAGACGGCATGATAAATACTACTTGGTAAAAATTATTTTGGGATATTTGAAGGCAGTAGGCAGACTTGAGAAGAATGAGCGTACCCTCCTCACAGACCAGGAAGTTGTGGCACTCAGAAGAGAAATACAAGTCTAATCCATGGTGCATGGCCTGGAAGCAGACTTCCTGAGTCTTTAATTCCATCTGATCAGCATTTGACTTCATCATGTCCAAGACCTTGTTGACATTATTTGTGTTGCACTGAAACATTCATTACCTGGGTTAGAGCAAGGTGGATGCCAGACTTCACTGATAATCTGAAAACTCGCTGCATCCATTGCCGTTGCCTCTGGCGCTGAAGTACATTCATTGGTTGCTCAAATGCAAATGTAAAGTCCCTTCCTTCTTCTTGCTATCCACCTCAAGAGATATGGGCAGCTGGCGAAGAGGAGAAACAAAGAGCTGGGAAATCCTGTGTGAATGAGGAGGGAGACAGACCCCTCTCCACAACCCCAACCACCTGCAGAAATTTGAACCACTCGCCCAGGGAAGACTATTTTAACATCATGAATACAGGACTTCTTCTTCTTTATATTTTTAAGTTTTAAAGTTAATCTGTATGTAAACCCAAAGGAAAAGACTCCTATGCATTTCTTTCTCAGTTTTCACTTGTTATTTTTACTTCTCAACAACTCTGAAAATATGACTGTCTGCTTTAATTGCTCTTGTTAGAAATTAATCTGTCAAAACTTCACTGACTAAATTTACAAAGTGGTGTGAGGCTCTCAATGTATTCTAAGTGGAGAACATTTAATGTCTTCCCCCCAATATCCAAGACATCTGAACACCATTCTCCCAAAGTGAACTGTACAGTCAGGCTTCTGTGATTCTTGGGTGATTCCTGAATGTGACTGTGACACATGGGCACTCTTTGAGAATGTGCTGGGGAAAGAGATGTGAAGGGTCCAACACGTGTTTCCTGCCAAGAACACCAGAACAAAGGATTCGAGGATTTGCAGGAGAACCCCACGCTCTTAGCATCCGCCAGTGGGAATACACAGGGGTGGCGATACGCCGTGGCCGGCAGACTTGTCTTTCCTCACCTTCTTGCTGGGATCGGGCTCCTGGAGGAGTATGTGAGAGAAACTCCAGACTCAACAACCTCACTAATGCAATCCAAAAACTCAGTCACTCAGAGATAGGATTCTATGCAGCTCCAGAAACTTCCTTCCAAATGAAATGTGCTATTTATATCAATGATCATTAAGCGTTTACAAGTCTCTCCTGAATAGAATTCATAGTTCCCCAGTGTGTTACTTGGGAGGCACCTATTTTGCTACATCTAATTCTACCTGTATCTGTTTCTGTTTTCTCCTGTGATTTGAGTAATGAGACACAGAAGTTAGATAAATATTTAAGAGAGCCCAAGAAAGCTTCCTCTTTGTGGAGATATCTGATCTCTTCCTTCCCAGGAACTGAACTTCAGGGAAAAGGGTGGTTAATACAGGAGAAGTGAGAGAGAAAGAAAATGTGCGTATCAGTGTGTATCTGTGGTCTCTCCAAAATAGAATTGCTTTATTCTTTTTCTTAAATCCATGTAATTAACAAACATTTATTATGGGCTTACTATGTGTCAGACTTGTTAAATTCTGAGTACACACAGGTGTTTGGAACCAATAAAGGTCAAAATTTCATGAAGATCACATGTTTGTTTTGGGTTAAAAAATAAAGAAATGAAGCAAATCTCTTTTGTATAAGATGAACTAGTCTTGTTTCATTCTTGGTACATAACCCATAGGCACTTAAATTAAGAAAATTCTTTGTGTATAAATAGTTTTTATAATCAATTTTTAAAACACAGTTATCTTTAAAAAAAAAAGATTTATTTATTTTACTTGAAAGAGTTACATAGAGAGAGAAGTCCTCCATGTGCTGGTTCACTCCCCAATTGGCCACAGTAGCCAGAGCTGCGCTGATCTAAAGCCAGGAGCCAGGAGCTTCCTCTGGGTCTCCCACATGGGTGAAGGGGCCTGAGGATTTGGGCCATCTTCCAGGACATCTTTCTCAGGACACAGCAGAGAGCTGGATCAGAAGTAGAGTTGCCGGGACTTGAACTGGTGCCCGTATGGGATGTGGGCACTGCAGGTGGCAGCCCCACCCACTACGCCACAGCACCAGCCCCAAACACAGTTATCTTTTTACAAAGATTTATTTATTTATTTGAAAGAGAGAGAGAGAGAGAGAGAGAGACCCCTTCTGTCAACTGGTTTACACAATGGCCAGAGCTGGATAAAGTTGAAGCCAGAAGCCAGGAACTCCATCTGTGCCTCCATGTAGGTGGCAGGGACCCAAGCACTTGGGCCATCTTCCACTGCCTTCCTTGGCACATGAGCAGGGAGCTGGATTGGAAGTGGAGCAGCCGGATTCAAACCAACACTCCAGTATGGGATTTTGTCATTGCAGGCAGCAGCTTAACCTGCTGCACCACAGTGCTAGCTCCCCCTCTTTCAACGTTAAGTATAACTTGAACACATCTGTTTGAAAGAGCTTAGAGTTCCATAAAAGTCTATCAGGCTCTTTTAATCAGGACAGCCAACACCTCAACTGTGAACAAAGCAGCCTGGGTCTTCATTGAGAAGTACCGCACCTGCCTGGGCAAAGACTTCCACATCAACAAGTGGGTGTGTGGGGAGATCACGCTCATCCTCACCAAGAAGCTCTACTGCAAGATAGCAGGGTCTGTCACAGCCCTGATGGGGTGGATTCAGGAGGAGGAGAGAGAAAGGAGAGAGAATTTTGTTCCTGAGGTCTCAATTCTGGATATGGAGACCATTGAAGTAGATCCTGACAACAATGCAATGCTGCAGCTTTTGGACGTTGGCAGTCTGTCCAACCTGCAAATCACTCAGTCTACAGTTGGGATGAATTTAAAAATGCCACATGGAGCCATTTGAATCTTTATGCTATGCCGTCCTATTTTTTTTAAAGATTTCTTTATTTATCTGAAAGTCAGAGTTACACACAGAGAGAAAGAGAGGCAGAGAGGCAGAGAAGCAGAGAGAGAGAGAGAGAGAGAGAGGTCTTCCACACACTGGTTCACTCCCCAATTGGCCACAATGGCCAAAGCTGCACCAATCTGAAGCCAGGAGCCAGGGGCTTCCTCTGGGTCTTCCCACGAGGGCACAGGGGCCCAAGGACTTGGGCCATCTTCTGCTGCTTTTCCAGTTCATAGCAGAGAGCTGAATCAGAAATGGAGCAGCTGGGTCTCAAACTGGTGCACCTATGGGATGCTGGCACTGCAGGGGGCAGCTTTACCTGCTATGCCACAGTGCCGGCCCCTGCTATCCTATTTTTAATATTTTTAATAAATATCATTTAATAATTGAATACATATTATTATAAAAAATAAATTTAATAATTTAATAAATATTAATTAAAATAATATTTTTAGTAAATGGGATAACAGCCAAAACAACAACAAAAGCCCATCTTTAAGGTTATTGTCTAACATGATACAACATTAGCGTAAGTGACAGTTTGGCACTATAAATGGTTCCGAGTTGCAAGTATTAAGTCACTCAGGCTCGGCTCAGTCTGATGTTAGGAGCTTCTTCCAGATCTCCCACACAGGTGCAAGGGGCCACTGCACTTGGACCATCTTCTGCTGTTTTCCCAGGTGCATTAGAAGGGAGCTGGTTTGGAAATGGAGCAACCAGGTCTTGAACCAGTACCCATATGGTATGTGGGCATTGCAGGTGGTGGCTTTACCCACTAATGCCACAATTCCACCACCTTTTATTTATTTATTTACATATTTGTTTATTTATTTATTTAAGAGAGGGTGTGTGTGTGTGTGTGCACTCTAATCCACTGGTTTACTCCCTAGATGCTTATATGGCCAAGATTGAGCCCGTACAGTCAGGAGTCAAGAACTCCATCTACATCTCCCCTGTGCCTCCCAGATTCTGCACTAGCATGAAGTTGCGGTTTAGAGCTGGAACTGGATCTCAAACTCAGGTATGTGGACACCTTAATTCTTATCTTAACTGCCTGCCTGGAGGGGCTTTTTAAAAAAGCCTGGCCTAAAAGACTTCTTGGAAAAGACCCCAGAAGCACAGGCAGTCAAAGCCAAAATTAACATTTGGGATTGCATCAAATTGAGAAGTTTCTGTACTTCAAAAGATACAGTCAGGAAAGTGAAGAGACAACTGACAGAATGGGAAAAAATATTTGCAAACTATGCAACAGATAAAGGGTTGACAACCAGAATCTACAAAGAAATCAAGAAACTCCACAACATCAAAACAAACAACCCACTTAAGAGATGGGCCAAGGATCTCAATAGACATTTTTCAAAAGAGGAAACCCATAGGGCCAACAGACACATGAAAAATATTCAGGATCATAAGCAATCAGGGAAATGCAAATCAAAACCACAATGAGGTTTCACCTCACCCCGGTTAGAATGGCTCATATACAGAAATCTACCAACAACAGATGCTGGTGAGGATGTGGGGAAAAAGGGACACTAACCCACTGTTGGTGGAATGCAAACTGGTAAAGCCACTATGGAAGTCAGTCTAGAGATTCCTCAGAAACCTGAATATAACTCTACCATTCAACCTAGCCATACTACTCCTTGGAATTTACCCAAAGGAAATTAAATTGACAAACAAACAAGCTGTCTGCACATTAATGTTTATTGCAGCTCAATTCACAATAGCTAAGACCTGGAACCAACCCAAATGCCCATCAACAGTAGACTGGATAAAGAAATTATGGGACATGCACTCTATAGAACAGTGTACAGCAGTCAAAAACAATGAAATCCGGTCATATGCAACAAGATGGAGGAATCTGGAAAACATCAAGCTGAGTGAATTAAGCCAGTCCCAAAGGGACAAATATCATATGTTCTCCCTGATTGGTAACAACTCACCAAGCACCAAAAAGGAAACCTGTTGAAGCGAAATGGACACTATGAGAAACAATGACTGGATCAGCTCTTGTCCTTACTGTTGATGTACAATGTAATACTTTATCCACTTTAGTATTTTTTTTTGTTCTAGTACTATTGGTTGAACTCTGTAATTAACACACAATTATTCTTAGGTGTTTAAATTTTAACTGAAAAGTGATCCTGTTAAATATAAGAGTGGGAATAAGAGAGGGAGGAGATGTACAATTTGGGACATGCTCAATCGGACTTTCCCCAAATGGTGGAGTTAGAAATGTCCCAGGGAAGGCCGGCGCCGCGGCTCACTAGGCTAATCCTCCGCCTAGCGGCGCCGGCACACCGGGTTCTAGTCCCGGTTGGGGCACCGGATTCTGTCCCGGTTGCCCCTCTTCCAGGCCAGCCCTCTGCTGTGGCCAGGGAGTGCAGTGGAGGATGGCCCAGGTGCTTGGGCCCTGCACCCCATGGGAGACCAGGAAAAGCACCTGGCTCCTGGCTCCTGCCATCGGATCAGCGCGGTGCGCCGGCCGCAGCGCGCCGGCCGCGGCGGCCATTGGAGGGTGAACCAACGGCAAAGGAAGACCTTTCTCTCTGTCTCTCTCTCTCACTGTCCACTCTGCCTGTCAAAAAAAAAAAAAAAAAGAAAAGAAATGTCCCAGGGAATTCCAATTCAATCCCATCAAGGTGGCATGTACCAATGCCATCTCACTAGTCAAAATGATCAACTTCAGTTCACAATTGATCACACTGATAGGTCTAAGAGTCAAAGGGATCACACAAACAAGACTAGTGTCTGCGAATACTAACTGATAGAATAAAAAAGGAAGAGAACGATCCAACATGGGAAACGGGATACACAGCAGACTCATAGAATGGCAGATGTCCTAAACAGCACTCTGGCCTCAGAATCAGCCCTTAAGGCATTCGGATCTGGCCGAAAAGCCTATGAGAGTATTTTAGGCATGGAAAGCCAAGATACTCTGGGGGGAAAAAATGAGGATCTAAATGAAAGATCTCTGTGAGTGAGATCCCAGTGGAAAGAACGGGCATCAAAGAAGGAGGTACCTTTCTCTGAAGGGAGGAGAGAACTTCCACTTTGACTATAACCCTGTCGGAATAAGATCGAAGTCGGTGAACTGAAAATGCTTCCATAGCCTTGGCAACTCATGAATAGAGCCTAGGGAGATTACTGAGGCCATAAATAAGAGTGCCAATTTGTTAAGTCAACAACAGGAGTCACTGTGTACTTACTTCTCATGTGGGATCTGTCCTTAATGTGTTGTCCAATGTGAAGTAATGCTATAACTAGTACTGAAACAGTATTTTTACACTTTGTGTCTCTGTGTGGGTGCAAACTGATGAAATCTTTACTTAATATATACTAAATCGATCTTCTGTATATAAAGAGAATTGAAAAATGAATCTTGGCCGCCACCGCGGCTCACCAGGCTAATCCTCCGCTGGCACACCGGGTTCTAGTCCTGGTCAGGGCACCGGATTCTTTCCCGGTTGCCCCTCTTCCAGGCAATCTCTCTGCTGTGGCACGGGAAGGCAGTGGAGGATGGCCCAAGTGCTTGGGCCCTGCACCCCATGGAGACCAGGAGAAGTACCTGGTTCCTGCCATTGGATCAGTGCGGTGCGCCGGCAGCAGCACGCCGGCTGCGGCGACCATTTTGGGGGTGAACCAACGGCAAAGGAAGACCTTTCTCTCTGTCTCTCTCTCTCACTGTCCACTCTGCCTGTCAAAAAAAAAATGAATCTTGATGTGAATGGAATGGGAGAGGGAGCAGGAGTTGGGAGGGGTGCGAGTGGGAGGGAAATTATTGGGGGGGAAGCCATTGTAATCCATAAACTGTACTTTGGAAATTTATATTTACTAAAGAAAAAGAAAAAGAAAAAAAAAGCCTGGCCTAGGTAGGGAATGGTGGAGAAGATTATTCAGGCACCATATGAAATGGGGAGATCTAGATTTTAAAAAAATGGGAAGTGAATGTAAGCGAAACTGAACTTTATGAGAAACTGGTAGGTTAGCCACAGTGCTCACTAGGCTAACCCTACGCCTGTGGCGCCGGCACCCTGGGTTCTAGTCCCAGTTGGGGTGCTGGATTCTGTCCCGGTTGCTCCTCTTCCAGTCCAGCTCTCTGCTGTGGCCCGGGAAGGCAGTGGAGGATGGCCCAAGTGCCTGGGCCCTGCACCTGCATGGGAGACCATGAGGAAGCACCTGGCTCTTGGCTTTGGATCGGCACAGCAGCCATGGCGGCCATTTTGGGGGTGAACCAACGGAAGGAAGATCTTTCTCTCTGTCTCTTTCTCTCACTGTCTAACTCTGCCTGTCAAAAAAAAAGAGAGAGAGACTGGTAGGGTAATGGAAATCAAACCATGACACAGAAAACCTGTATCCTTGCTTAGTGTTTTCAACTGATAGGTTAAAAGCTTGGTGAGATCTTGCTTGTTCAAACACTTGATATGTGTTCTTCTTCCCTGAGTACTCCATAGAGCTGATATGTGGATGAAATGAGATAATGGATGTGAAAATATTTTGTAAATGTCTATGACTATACAGAGCCTCGGGGGTGGATTCTGCACTTTCCCATTTGACTTAAGATGTTCATATATCTATTCCAGAATCAGAATTTCCTTCTAGAGTCTAGGAGGGCTTCCCATTCCAAAACTGTCTCCTACTAGAATGTAACCTTCCTATGGCTAGAGGTTTATTTTTTAATTTTTCATTTATTTATTTTACTTGAAAGGCAGAATTACAGAGAGATAGAGAGAAAGAGGTCTTCCATCCATTGGTTCACTCCACAAATGGCCAAACAGAGCAGGATATGGGCCAGTCCGACAGGGGCCCATGCACTTTGGCCAGCCTTTGCTGCTTTCCCAGGCATATTAACAGAGAGCTGGATCAGAAATGGAGCATCCAGGACCTGAATTGGTGCTTCTATGGGATGCTGGTGCCACAGGCCAGCTATATGCCTTGGGGCTTTACACACAATGCCA